GCTCCAGCAACTCTGGTCCGGCTGTGATCGACAGCCCCGGTCTCCGTGAGCAATACGGTGCTGAATCTCAAAACAGCTACTGAAAATGCCCAACTGATACGCTGCGTGTTCATATAAAACTGCCTTCCCATTTTATTCACTTTCATTGCAAACAGGGGTGGGTTTTTTTCAGTTTTCATTACAAATGAGTCACTTGGAAAATGGAAGATTTCCCCTCCAGTAAAAAAAGCTTTCAAGCATGAGTGGGATCACAAATAGCAATTAGATTACTTAAGAGATACTTACAATATTGTGTAAGCCCTGTTAAACTCAGTGGCCATGATTTACAGTAAGAAAAAAATACAGAATAACAAAGAAGCGAAGGTGTGAGTGCTGTGATTTCGTAAGCTTTCTGTTGCTTAAAAGATGCCCTGCTGATTTATCAATACCTGCTTCACAACCCAATTTCCTGTATGTTGAGAATTTTATGGGAGCACCCTATTTATCCTTACAGTGCAAGTTTTCTAATCTCACTTTCAGGCAGATGTTGCTCTTGCCATCAGTGCTATAAATCCAGAGTCACTCTTCTGACTTTACTTCTTTCAGGGTTTATAGCGGAGGAAGAGAGGGAGAAAGTTGGCCTTGTGTCCTGTAGTGCAGTAGAAAATTAAAATAAAACATCAGTTTCACATCCAGGAGGTATTAAATGCCCCGGCTCAGCGCTATATTCTGAAAAGCAAACACACATCCATGCATTGACTTTAATGGAAAATTTTTCTGGCTACACGGTGCGTGTCTTGCTGTTGTTAAAGGAGCAAAACTGAGGTCAAAAATGGGGTTAGGCTAAGGAACGCCTGCAGGGAGGGGCTCTACAGGTGGCAAAAGGGAGTTCTGATGTTTGTATGGTGTGAAGGTGTGCATTAACGGGCCGAAAGGCATTAGTGCTGCCCACACGCGCTGCCTGCGTGCATGCCTCTGTGCGTGTCTGTGTGTGCACCCAGTGCTGCAGCGCCGGTGCAGAGGGGAGGAAGGGCTCTCGTGTCCCATGGGGCATCAGGGGCTGCTTGGGAATTTTGCAGGGGGAAAAATAGTTTCCCCTGTGTGTCTCCCTGAGGCTTGCACTCTGCCTGTGCCCCGAGCTGTCCACAGTGCCTGCCAGGTTGCCCTCAGGCTGCGGCAGCAAGAGAGTACCGTCCTTCAGGTCTCCTGGCATAACCATGCATACTGGTGTCCCACAGCCCCATCACCACTGGAGCAAGGCTGCTCTCCAGGCAGCTCAGTGCCAAAAATGAGGAGATGAGGGAGACGGAGAAACATGGGGCAGAGAGGGAGCCGGGTGAGGAGGTGCAAGTACCCGTGTTCCGTGTGCGCCCTGTCAGTCAGACGCTGTGCACGGAGGGAGGCCAGGGCAGGAGAGGCAACAGCAGTTGTGCAGCAAAGCCTGCATGGGTAATTCGACTTCACTTCCCCAATAAGCATCTCCTAGTCCCGGTTTTGACAGACAGGCAGTCGGTGTGGCACGGTGATTATTTATCTGGTTGAAGGTGAAGGAAGCTGCAGGTGCTGGCACGGGGCGTGGGAACCCCCCTGAGTCCCTCGGCTTTCTTATCATATGTGCTTATGTGTGCAAAAGTCCAGCACGCATGAGAACACGGGACTTATAAATATCTACATGCTCTGCAGCTGCCAGGGAAGTCACTGTATATCTACATGTGCTAGGCTTATTTTTTAAAACCAAGATAATGATAAGCACATAAAGCCAAAGCCTCAGTAAGACTCTGATGGCGCAAAATCAGATGTAAAGAGAACAAGGAGCTGAGACTTTAGCCTAGCCTGCAGAAAGTAGATATTAATAGCCATTTACAATTTGCATAGCTTTATATTAAAATAAATTTTTCTCACTCCCTCTGGCCTTAAGGCAGTGACAGAAATTTTGTTTTCTGTTATTAATAATGCCTGTGACAACATCATGCTGCTTTCTTCATACAGCATGCTGATAACTGCAAGTAACCTGTTGCTCAATAACAAAGAGATACCAGAGAAGAAAGTAATGCATTTTACAGAAAGTTATTTTCTACATGTTAAAAGCCAAGTCTTCCTCTCCAAATAATTAATTCAGCAGATTTGCCTTTCCAGGTTCCCTCGTAACTTCTGGGTATCTCCAAGAAGAGAACACATTTTTCCAGGTCCCTCTCAGAAGTCACTTTGACCCTTATCTAGTATCTCCTTTTCCTCATCGAAACCTCTCACAGGGGCATTTGGTTACCTTTCTTTCTTTTCTTTCTGGGATCTTGTCTGGCCTTCTACTGCTGCCTAAATTACACAATACAAGTGTGTTTCACATAAATCCCAGAATAAAGTGGCGTTAGCAGAGGCGGGTCCTTAAGGGCACGGAAGAGATGGTATCCCTGGGTGTAGCTGATTGGACACAGGTAACAGATGATGTCTTTCTTAAGATTTCATGATCCAGTCGCCCAAAATGCCCATTGAGAGTAAATGAACAAAACAATAATTAAAATACCTGTCTCATTAAAAATTATGCATATTTTGCATATATGTGGGAGAGAGAGGCAGAGGCAAGTAACAGGAAAGCAACTTCCCCCTCAGAAAGCACCAAGAACATTTTAAGAAAGCTATAAATCTGATCCATGCTCCATAGAAACAGAAATGTCAATCCATCCAAGTTGGAAATGGCATGCTGAAGAACCACCTTTATTTCTCCATGGAGCCAGAAGGACTTCCCTTCAAAGGATGGAGGGGGACCCACATGTGCAAAATGCGCTTGGAGCAGCCCACAGTGAAATACAGCATCGGCTCCACATGGTGCTTCAAGGAGGTCCACGTGGCTCTGCCTCTTCCACCAGCAGTCACTGGGGGGATCGGGCTCTCATCTTTGCAGATCCCCAGTCCGTTGCCTCCGGCAGGGAGAATCAGTGCAAGCCCTTAAGGAGCACAAAAGGGCAGCATCTGACCCTAGTTGGGACTTCCAGCAAGGCCACCCACCACCTACACGTTACAGGAAAAGTGCACCTCACCCTTCCTACAATCCTCTTCCAGAAAAGTCCTGAGAACAAGTGCCATGGTCTTACAAAACCAAGCTGCTGGCTAAGTCCGTCCCTGGCGCAGAAACTTGCCAGTTGTATAAGAGGGTTTAAAAGTGATGTTTAGGTGAAGACTTAATAATCCACACAAGATGTGCTGGGAAAGGTCCTGCAGTAGTGTAAGTCGAAACACGTCTACTGCAGGCGAGGGACAAAGAGAAAGAATGCCCAGAGCAAAAATACAGAATTAACCAGATTCTGTCAATTAACAATGTTTAAGGGGATGAGTTATCAAAAAGAAGTAATTTTTATCATTTTTCATATGGTTGCACATGGCCTGATTTTTGTCTCCCTTAATCTAAGAAAATTGATTTGATTCCTCAAGTAGACCTGTCCAGATGAACTCAAGAATCAGTAGAAAGATTCTGCAGACCTCATATCCATCAGGAGCAAAGTGAGACCATTTGTGAGACAAGGCACTATTTAGCATTAAAAGTAATTCACCCCAGAGCCACCTACTGCTCACTTCAAGGAATGGGATGGGAACTGGTGTTGAGTCCTCAATAAATTGAAATGCACACAAATCTGCAGTCATTTGGGTTACAAAACAAGTAATAAGAAGGCTCATTTCTGAACATGTTTTCTCAGTTTTCTGCATGCCTTCTTACAAAGCCTGTGAAATTATTATAGTCCAGATTTTGCATTATCCTGGCAAGGAAAGTGTAATTAATTATTATTAGTAGTATTGCTTTTTAAGAGGCACGGAGTGTTTAAGCATCTCTTTCCAGGCCCTGCAGTAAGTCTGTAAAGAACTGTAATCATACCTCAGGAGATTATTTCCCCCTATAGAGTGCTCTGCCCCAGCATTTCTATCTAAAAAAAAAACCCAAACAAAAAAAAAACCAAAACACACTAAACCAAAAAAACCCAACCCAAACCTGGAAATAAGAAAGTCTTTATGAAAAGCGGTTGAAGAGTCTCCTTTATGATGAGCACCTGCTTGCTCAGCTAGTGCAGAGGCTTTGCTGAAGCCAATGGATTTGCTCTGGCTTGGCAGTGGGGAACCAAGGGGAACCACATGTACCTGTGGACAGGTATGGTCAACCCCTCTGCTCCAGACAGCAGATACCAAATTGCAGAGGTGACTTCCTTGGCCCTTTTTACTAGCACTATATTCATTATAAGAAAGGAATCTGATCTTTTCTTAAAAAGAAAGTGAGGTCCGTGCCATTTCCTGTGGCAAGCAATACTCTGCAGCATCAGACTTGGATAATAAACCAAAACCTAAAAATGTGGTTCCTCCCAGTGCTGCAGAGAAGTAATGCAGTGTGATGGGCATGGAGGAACAAGCCCGTAGGAACCAGCCAGCAGAGAGCTGTTAGCATCAGGCTCTGTCAGTGACTTTAGCATTATTGGAAAAAAATATACATATTTAGCATTTATATTTAGTATTATGGAGATTAAAAAAAAAATGGAAGAAAAAAGCCTGAACCAGAGACAGCATAGTGTATTGGGAGAAACTACCAGCATTGAGAGTTTGGGGCGGGAGGAATCACAGTAGACCTTCCAGTCCCACCCATTAAGAGTGCAGACTCCTGATTCAGTCCTATTTACCTGGCTACTAGCAGAACTTTACTGAAGGACAGAGTAAAACCTGAAAAAGATAAAAAATAGAACCCATGTTTTAGGTTTGGTTTGGGAGGGCGGGGGGAGGGTGGCACGAGTTGAAATGAGGTACTCTGAGGTAGGGGAAGACAGATAGAGAAAGTGAAGAGGGAACAGTTTTTCCTTGGTGCTCACAGCCCAAGAAGGAGGGGACATCAGCTGAAATTTTGAGGTGTACGGACGAGTGGTGATACGTACACACACACAAGCAAGCTCTGCAGGTCACTGCCATGACCCTTCTTGGGCAGCAGAAGGAGAAATGGGTTCAAAACCAAATTGTCTGACACATGGACCATGGAGCATAAAGGCAGAGATACCAGCTGCCACTCAGGTAGTCTGGAAGCCTTAGGTGGGAATTTGGGATGACAGTGGAAACTTTGTTTTATACCTCACGCTGTTTTTATCCTTTTTTTTTTGTAAGCGTGTGCTACCGCCACAATCGGAGGCTGCTGCTGGGCTAGGTGCACCTCTGATCTGAGCTGTTCTGCTCAAGTCTTCAGAGAGTTAAAATATATGCATATGCACACACATATTGTGTGTGTGTGTGTATGTACATATGTGTATATTACATATATTCTACATATATATTTATAGTATATGTATTATACAATAGTGCATAGTAGGCTTGATACAGTCTTCAGTGGGTTTGGCTCCTCTCTAGCATAGGCCAGCTTTATCACTTAGTTTCTGGAGAATTTCCTCCTGATTTATTCTATAAGTGAGAGTAAGGCTCACTGTGTGTTGAGCAAGCCAGTGAGCATAAAAATAATGCAGCACCTAAAGTCTTTGAAAACAGCTTTGTGTTTACTGTCCTCCACATTCCCTAACTCCATCTACTGAGCTTGGAAAAGCAGCAGACCCATGTCTGTGAAACCCACAGCATTGCATGCAAGGTAGCAGCTTTCAAAGCCTGGGGAAGCTTTCTTTGGTGGTGAGGGACTTCTGTGGGACAGGATTACACGTAGCCTGCCAAATCGTGTGAAATAGCCAGCTACAGAGCAGCAGCAGGGCAGCTGATGGTGTTGTAAAGGTCAGTCTTGAAAACAAATACGTGTTTGGATGCAATTTGGCACGGCTTCACCTCAAAGCAAGGCAGGGCAGGTGTTTTTATGTAAAAACCAAATGTCCATGGCCTGATTGATCAAAGCTTTGTAGATGAAAACCAGTCCCTTGAACTTCTTCCAGAACCCATCAGCTCTTAAATATTCAGATACTGCACAAATTTCAGCGTACGCAATACGTAATGGGAAAGGCATCCCAGAGTGAGCCCAGGCACCCCAGCAGTGCTGTCCTTCCTGCCTGGCAAACGGAGAAGTGTATTCTGCGTCAGCTGCAGGTCGTGTCACAGCTTACAGAGCATGTTCAAGCAACCCGTTGTCACAGCGTCAAAGGATGACTTTGGAGAGCTTCAGACCGAAGGTTACTGAACCTCTCTTGCAGATGCTTGCATCCCCAGTATCCTTGACTGGTCTGGATTGAATCCTCATTACCTAACTCAAATGTCAGCTAGGAGACCACAAGTTCTTTCTACCGAGCCACCCAGGTTACAAGCCTCGTTGGAGGACCCCCAGCACATACAAATGGCAGGCTCCTGAGTGACCCGGCAAGTGCCTTCTCAGAGCTGGTGAACCAGGCATGTAAGACTATGTCTCACAACGTGCCTGAAAAGCCAGCGGCCCCACGCAGTTCCTCTGTTTTGAATACCACAACGACAACCACGCCTGTGAACTGGACTGCTTGAAATTCTTCTAAATAATATATTTTTATATATTTTTGCATGTTTTTTTACACCAAGTAATTTTATCAGTTTTCCACCCTTCTGCTTTGGACAGACTGAGGGAATATGTGCAGCCTACATTTTCCTATTGACACTTAGGACATAATTATTAAAGCAACCAGAAGCATATTCAGATCTGCACATTGGGTGAGAAATATCAGAGGAATCTGAAGATATGATGGGCACCATAACAGCTGCTTCACAGAGCCTAAATCCTGGTCACTGCTTCATGAGATCATCGGTAGCAACAGACGGCTTCTTGACCAGTCGCTTCAAAGATCATCTCAAAAATGGTTAGATGCTGGTTGTGGCAGAAATACTGACAACCTCCACTCCTGTTGGCCATTTCAAACCACTCCAGTGTCTGGGGGAACAACTCTGGCTAGCAGTCAAAGACGACCCAAGGTTTTTCCCCCGCTCAGTGCTCCATTCTGCTTCTGCAGTAGTGAACAATTCCGACCAGATTTGGGTAAATTATAGCTACAGTATGGCATGCAAGTGATTCACAGGAACAAAATTATGGAAGTCCATCACCAGGTTTTAACACACAAGAGTGGATCTGGCACTGCCAGCTTTACAGTGATGCTCTGGTAGGACTGCCTTTGCTTTTCTCACACTGGTGGCATACTCTGGTAAAAACCAAACCCCACCACTGGCGGGCTCTGGTGCCTCCACCTGTGCTCTGGGCCCTCATCTCTCCTGTTTCACCTTCGCTACCTGCAGCCCATGGAGGCCAGTGAGACTGAGGCGTAGGAAGCGGATGCTTAGGGATCCCTGTGCCACTAATGGGCAGTGTACGCAGGCACGTCCCCGTGCACCCAGAGGCGAGCTGGAGGCTTCCTGGTGAAGCTCACTTCGCTCCTCTGCACTGGCACGGGCAGTCACATACTCAGACAAGTCCTCAGGGTAAGGACAGGGAGCTCAATGAGGCCGTCCTGTTTGAACAGGATGGGAAATCCCCTGTGTCTCTCCTGAAACCCCATTTTTCCACGTTGCGGGTGCTTCTCTTGTGCTTGGTCTGTTTCGGGTACCCACTTTGGCTTTCTGCTTGAACCTGAGCATGAAACAAGGATTACATTGGCAGGGGACAGGGGTTCTTCTTTTGCCAAAACATCTGGACAATGTGAATCTGTTTCTGGCAAGATAGTCCAAGTACTACAGTACCAGCCAGGGTAACGCGTCAGAGCCTGAAGCAGGAGGAAGGGTGGGAGGGGATGGCAGTCTCTGCACCTTGGCACATCGTTCTGCTGAACTGGCAACATCATCCCAGTGTCAACAGACCTGTAGAGCGAGGTTTCCATTTTCTACTCATTCTGGCCATCACTGAGCTTCTCAGCACCCATCTTGTCTTAAGACAAAACAAAAGTGTGTACCCCCCCGCACCCTTACAGAAGCTGAAACATCGCAGCCTCAGCTGCTGGCTTGGTGCCTGCTTGCTCTTGGGGATCCCCCAAGAGCAAGTGCCTGGAGGAGCAAGACCCTGGCACAGCTATCGCGCTCCCTTACCCCAGCTGCAGCGGTCACCTGTGCTGCTAAACACTTCCTCAAGGTCTTGCACACAGCTTCCAAGAGCATTTTGACATCCTTTAAATCACTGTTAATTGAAGATACCACCAATGCAATTTTACCCTAAAAATTTAGGGGATCTAGGGACACCACACACACAACTCAGACCCAGTTTTATTCACAAAAAAATGAGCTTTGATAAGTTTCTGTAAAGGAACGAAGACACATTTCAGGCTCTTCCTATGCCTGCTTCTGCCTGCAGTTACAGAACTGTAAATCCCACTGACTTTAATAGCTCACTACCTGGCCAGGCGAGGACCACGCGTGCCCAGGCAGGTCTAGGACTCGGAGCCGCGTGGCGGCAGCTTTGGGTGTCAGCCTGGCCCCCAGCTGCGGCTCCGGGCTTACTGCCGCCACCGGCAAGTCAGGCTGGGCTGTGCTTTGTGTTCACCAGCACCACGGCACGCTGTCGTTTTCTGCCACGGAAGACAGCTAAATAATCTGACAGTGGGTTGATAACCACGTAGCGGCGAAACTTGATTTAGAGACGTATGGCCACAGGGCCAACAGACCGCGCTAGTTGTTCCTTCCAAACAGCACAGCAAAAATCTTTTGTTTTGATATTGAGTCTTTCATAGCCGTGTTTTTAGCAATACTACAAATTGCAGTTAAGTGGTTTTTGCTTGTGTCTGTGGCACTAATCTCAGTCTTTGTCCCGCTCCAGTTAATAGGCTGCATTATTGGCAGACAAGGCAGTAAGATAAATGAAATCAGGCAGATGTCAGGAGCGCAGATCAAGATTGCTAATGCCACAGAAGGCTCCGCAGAACGACAAGTTACAATCACAGGATCCCCTGCAAACATCAGCTTAGCACAGTACCTCATTAATGCAAGGTAAGTTTGCTTTGTAAGTGCTAATGCTTCTGCAAGATTGCTCTGCCTGCTCTCCAGCAAATGTCTGTCCTGGATAGGTCCAGAAAGTTGCTTTGCAGCGTCCGTTTTGCTTAGCTTTATTCAATTCCTAATGGTTTGTAAAGCCTGTACCATTAGAACCTGTGTTTGCTGTTGGTTTATATGGAAAGCAGCTTAATCTGGTGCAATTCCATGTACATGCTGAAGGACAAAAGCTGAAAAATCTGAATACTCACATTGGCATCCACCTAAAATATAGGTGGATAAATTAAATGACAGTCCTAAATTCTTGAGAAGAAAATGCTTTTCACAGACCCGTTTTACTGTCCTAAATGGCAAATATAGTGAAACAGATTGCAAAACAGATTTAATTTACTAACTGGAGATTGCCACTCAGAGCTGATATTAAACTGGCATTTGGTTGCTAAAGGGGCACGGGCTTTATTTTTTCAGAGACAGCATCACAAATTTGTAAAAAGCATTCCCTAATGAGATGAGGTGAGACTAACTGCTTCTCCACTTCTCAGTGCCAGAATTAATGAAAGCCCTGGCTGTTTAGCTAAGCCGTTGCGACAGCTTAAGTATCTATCTAGCACTTTTGACATGATTATTTAGAAAAATATTAAAATTGATACCACCTTTATTTGCAATTATCCTGAGAAGGTAGCGTAATAGATGCAGTGCTGTCTCATAGATCTACTTGTAAATGGTGGACGGATGCAATATATTGTGGGGAGGGGGAGTAGCTACCTATTTTATTGCCTCTTTTTTTCCTTTTCTCTCCCCCCGCCCCCCAATACTGTGATACAAATCGAGCTTTGTGTTTAACTATGTTTGCTGTTCGGGTAGTAGAAAGTATGTGATTTATAGGGGGGGGACGGGATGGAGGATGGGACTGTAGTCCTAGCAGGTCTACCATCTCCTGCAGTCCAACCTCCTCCCCAGCCCGGTTCTGTAGTGAACCACTGCAAGCCACTTGTAAATGTCTTAAAGGAGGAGAAGGACATTTGTGCAGTGCTGCGTTACAGCAAACAAATCTATCACTTTTTTATGATTCAGCTTGAAAGTAGTTTCCTAGGGAAATCTCTATTGAGGGGTGGCGTTGTGAAGCCTAAGATAAGCCGTTTCCAGAATCCTAAAACAACCTACAGATCTTTTGATTTATGTTCTTTGTAGCAAATATAAGTCACTTCCGTAAGCCCTGTAATCAAATAAAAATGTGTTCCCTCCTTTAACCCTTAAGGATATGTTCTTCTCTTGGTGTTCAGGGATTCCCCACACATCGAGACGAGAATAGACCCCTTCATTTTTAGTTGCACAAACGCCATATGGCATGCACCTGGATCTCAGAAGATAACAATTTAAGATCTTCAAGACAGCTAAAGCATGCAAATAAAATAATGCACTTATTAATGGAGTTGCAGTGAGCTGCTCACCAGAGACAGAAATCCTAGTGAACAAACCTCTGTTTGACTCACTTTAGAAAAGCCTGTGAACTCTCACCCTTCGGTTTATGACTGTTCAATGATTCTTTTGATGGAATGGGATACATATATGAGGTCTTTTAACATACTTTTGCAAAGAAGAAAACTTCTCAGCAGTCATATACCACGGATACTCTATCTGTACCCTGTGAAACCAGAAACAAAGTATTTTCTTCCTGTTGAATTTCTAGATAGAATTCATTTGTTGCCATCATCTACAATAAACCATCATCTATTGTTATGTGCCATGTGTCGAAACTGTATTTAGATGAAGTGACTTCATTTGTAAATGAAGATTCTTAAAGTAATGTATAATAAATCGAGCTCTAAGGTGACATAGGACATTAAGGTGGCTTTTTCATTTCAAAAGTGAGACTGTTCCAGAGTTCTCCTTTCACTAGAGAAATTCCTGCCCAGTTAGGTGCCACCGCAGCCGCAGCACTAGTCTGCAGTCGCACTGGAGGAAGAACCGAGAAGCGTTCAGGCAGGAGGGAGGTCTGCTCTAGCTGGGGTTTAGGTGCTCAGGCAGGATTTTGGGAGGCAGAACTGGGCTGCGGCTGCCTGCGCCCGCTGGGAGCCAGTTTCAGCGTCTGTCAGTTCTAAACCCACCACAAGGACTGCCCTCTCTTTTCAAGATGTTGGCATGAAATAAACAGTGTTGGGGAAGAGCTGAGTATGGTACCTAGACTGCCCAAGGTATAGTCTGGTATGTCAAAATAATAATGACAATAAATAAAAGCCATATAAGCATTCAGGGCAAGGTGGACTTTTTTTTTTTCCCCCTCTCTCCCCCACAAGATCTGTCATTCTCGTGGATTTGGTTTCCAGGGCCAGTAGTTCTGCAAAAATCAGTGTCTCACAGCAGCATAGGATGTAAGGGAAAAAAGCTATCCGCTGTATTCCTGGAACAATCTGTGTGTGTCTTTAACCTATCCTCCAACCAAAGTTGCCACCTGTAGAATAATTTATCAAGTTGTTTTAAGACTTTTGTTGCAATTTGGTGTTGAATGTGTACATTATATACTCTAAATTGTAGAGATATAAATACATTGATACAATATCAAGACAGAGATTTAACTCTTTCTAAAGGATTGGTTTGATTCTGTACTGATCATCCGAGCACTGACCTCTGTACAAGTAGAACGTGTCCCAGCTTGTTTGCAGCAGAAGTGTCTTTCGTTCTGTAAAACCTTCTGTCTCTTAAATGGTCTCCATTGTAGTAACTGGATTTTTATTACCCAATTCCATCTTCTCGCTTTTATTAAGAATGAACCGCAGTTTAGGTTTCCTGTGTAATAGTTGACTGTGGATTGTAAAGGAGTTGTAGCCAGCAGCACTTTCTCCTTGTTGGAGAGCAGTTTCCTGAAGGTTGGTTTTGGGTTTTTTTACTGCTATTTTGATGAGAGGTTCATTCACAGAGCTAACAGGACTGCCAAAGCCAGACTCCAGCTTTATTCCTTTCACCAGTTTTGGGTAATGCAGGATGTAGCCTTGGGTGTATATATTCATAAAGCGTAGTTCTTCAACGGGATGGTGTAAAATTGGCACCATGAATTTTTGTACAAAGACTGCCTCACCCGCTTTTACATTCAATTTTGTTGCATCTACAGTTGGCTTGGGAACCTGCCGCTGTCACAGGACAGCTGATAGCTAACCTACCTGGTGTACTTTCGCCTTACGCCTTACCACCAGGAATAAATGTGAAGCAGGAAAAATTATTGCTTTAACCGTACCTGTGCGAATAACAGCAGAGCGAGGGCATTTGAGTGGCTGCTACCAGCACCAGCATTTAGCCCATGGGATCTGTTCTCCCTGCTGGTACAGGAAAAAGCTCAGGCTCAAATACGCCCAAATCAGTAAGGCTTCTTTTGTTAAATGCAAGGTAGGCAAATTTGGAGTCACCGCAACACTGGAGTCCTGCATTACCTTTCTATATGGCTCCCTCCCAGAATGATACTGAGTCAGAAATACAAAAAAAATCCAACTGTATAAACTGAGTTTTTCAAAACCTACTAAAGTATCACCATGTAACCCCTACACCCCAAGTCGAGGATGTATGCTGGAGTTGGATCTGCCATTTCAGTAGATAGAAACACATATTCTTGATGTAAATCCCGTTGTGCAAGTAGATTGCAAGTAGCACAGCTAACAGCGCAAGGGTGCGCTTCTCTCTGCAAAGAGCAACTCCGCTGCAGAGGTTAGAAAAATTCTGAGATGCTCATCCATGGGGACAGATAAAACACCACAGGGTAGGAAAACCAAAGCTTTGCCTCCTACAAACGGGTCTGCATTCCATGCACTTGCCCTCCCTTCCTCCCAGCCCCTCAGAGAAGACATGCGCCTTCCAGCTGCCCAGCAAAAGCCGACGAGGAGTTAATACTCCCAAGAGCCCTCTTTCTTTTGCGGGGAGGAGCTCGGTGTTCAACCCTTTCCCTCTCTCCTCCACTCTCCTCTCCCCAGCTCAGACCTGCTTCATGTATCCTTTAGCCTCACCTTCAGCAGCAGTGTTTTGGGAAGCTTTAGTCCAACGTCCCCATCCCCTGCATAGTGCTGGTTCATCACTTGCATCCTTGCCCTTGCGCAAAGTGGACAACAGGCCTTCTGGTCATCGCTTTTCTCTGGCCACAAGCAGACCAGGGGCTGTTATTCTCAAAACTGCATGCAAGTCTAAGGTGAGGCAAAGGGAGGCTCTCCCAAGCCCTGAGTAGGGCGGCCGTGCTCCCCTCCCTTGCCCCGGGGAAGGAGCATGGCTGCAGCTGCTCCCTAACCCTGCACGCCCAGCCCCAAGTGCCAGCAGGGACCAGAACAAACCCTGGAAGCTTCCCCCAGGCCTGATGGGACTTGATAAGAGAGGTGAAAGCCCAGGAGCCTGACATGTTAGTAATTACTGAAAAAAATCCCCCAACTTGGAATTAATGCATGCATAACTGTGGCTAGCAAGGGTTTTCTAATCCATGGTCCCATTTATGTGCTAGGCTGCCATACCTCCCAGCTGGTCACATGCAAAAATGCATCCTAAAATTAGTATTTAGGTTGTTTGCCGACCCAAAATGCAGTGCATGCGCTGCAACAAACGCACGGCAAACAGAGGATTTATCTAAGTAAACATTTTGTCATCTGAAAAAAGCAACACATCCTTGGAATTACTGTATTTTACTGTGTAAAAATGTACAGAAAAGCCTGAGTACGTGGGCCAAACTCATCTTGCCTGCCGATGGGTGGGGTTAGATGAAGCGAAGGTGGTTTGGTACCTACATCCTCCAAAGAGCCCGTCACTGCTTTGGGCTCGGAGGTTGGGTCAATCTAAACTTCCTCACGCTGGCGGGGTCCGTCTGATGATGTGTATGTTGTATCCGTGTGGTACCTTGTCTGTCAGCTGGTAAGCTCTTCTGCGGTCACTGTAACCACTGCCACAAGCTCAGAAAGGATTCCGCTGCTGCGGAAGCCGGGGTGTTTTTCAGCCTTCCTTGTTACTGATTTCCTTATAATTAGATTGCATAAATATTTTGTTGTGATTTTTAAAAAAAAAAAAAAAAAAGGTCTGGGGAAAGTACAAATCGAAGTGAACACACTGGCTAATCAGGTTTGTTTTATATGAAAAATGCACATTGGCCTCACAATGAATTAAATGAAAAACTAACTTTCTAAAAAAAAAAAACCCCCAAAAAAATCAAAACTTTATGACGCAGATGGAAGCAGCAAATCATTGCTCAGTCTCCTCTCATCCTAGCAAAATGACGAAGGGTACTATTTATGCTACAAAATTGACAAATTGACAAAATTACCAAAACCCCCCGCGTCCCCCTTTCAAAAATACCGTAATTTTGAAAAGCGAAAATCAGCATTATCAGTGCTGGGGAGTAAACTTCATAGTTATTTTGAGTTTTTCTTTTAAGTTTTGTTTTTTCCATCTTTTTGCCATTACCTGCATTCCTTAAATTTCTTTTTCCATACGTAAAATGAACTAGCAAACCCCCCTCTTCTCTTTTTTTTTTTTTTAAAGAACTTTAGAGTCTCAGTAATGTTTTCACCATCGAATCATGAAAAACCCTTTTGTTATTTCTCTTCTTTAACACATAACATGTTCCTCCTTTGACCCTCATTTTCCCTTTTTTTCTCTCTCTCTCCCCACCCCCTCCCTCCCTCTTGTCTGTCCCCCTCGTCCACCGGTCTAATCCTGCCCTTTCGTGGTTGCTGTCCCTCCTTCCTCCTCCTCCTCCTCCTCCTCCTGGCCCCACCACCCTGGCTGGACCCTCCCAACCTGTTTGTTCCTCTTCCTCTCTTCGTTTGCAGCTTAGAGATGGCTAAAGTCAGCACCCAGACCGCTTCCGTCACGACCCCTGTTGACCTCAACATGAACCTCTCTCAGTCTGCCACCCCTACCTCCACCCCCACCTCCATGGCCGTGCTGGCGGCCGCCTCCGCCGTTACCGTCAGTACCCCCCCTCCCCTACCAACTCTGCCCACCACCCACTATGCCGTTCCCGTCTCCAGTCTGCTTGGCATGAAACCTGTCCCACTCCTGGCACTAAATGCCGCGGCCGCCGCGGGGGCCACGGGGAGTTTGTCCGCTTACACTGCCAAAATTCCTTCGACGAGCGGGGTTAAGAAATCTGACCGCCAGAAGTTTGCTCCATATTGAAGGGATGAGACACAATGCAAGCTTTGCCAGCTCTACCACGAGTCTCTGGTAGATCCTAGTTATCAAGGAAACAATACGGCATCTTTTATTTTCTGTTAAATTGCTAGTGTTAACTGTTGCCGACTCAAGTCGTCTTCCGCTCTCCATAACGACTAACACCCGGGCACCACCTACCAACTAGTTCCAACAGCGGGTGGGCACCAGCCCCGGGGGCTTTCCCCACCAGCCCTGGGGCTTTCCCCGCCGCCGCCGCCGTGGCCAGGGCTGGCCCCTCTGGCAGCCCTGCAGCACGGCGGGGTGCTCCCACCCCGGCAAGGAGACACCCGGTGAGGAAGAAAAAACATAAACGTGGCAAAATGTTGACAGCCAGGTCCTGCTCCGGCAATACTGCCTGGCATATAAAGGCACAGTTATGCCCACTTTGAAGGGGTCCCTCTGACCGCAGAACAATTTTCTATGGCAAGTCGGCACCTCTGATCATTTTTTCTATTGCTAGAGCCTGCAAATCTGGCACTTCTGATGATTGCTAGCACCCCTGAAAGCCCACCTGAAGTGCTGGCCCCCCACAGCCATTCTGCTGCTCTCAACAGACCCCTGTCTCCCCTGCCCCGACACCTGCCTGCGAGCGGGACATGGGGGCTAGAAAGTACCAAACCTCAGGTACTTCTATGTCCAGCAAATGAAGCTTGCCGGTCCGAGAAAAACTCCTAAATTAAAACTGATTGGAAGAAAACAAGAAAAAAAAATAAATATTTGGCACCTGTGCCTTTCCACTCCATTCCTTTAAAGGGTGCAATGATTTTTCTCTGGTTTGGAAAAACTTGATTTTAAGAACTCCGCTTTAGGGAATGAGAGCAGGCTCCTTTTTTTGCACTCAGATGTTTTACATATACCAACACAGCACTTGTAGGTACTTAACAGTAGGTACAAATCAGGCATGCACAGCCACTATTCCAGTACCCTCCGGCCGCATATATTTTGTTCAGCCAAAATGGCCATTTTTTTTGTTAGGCTTCTCTAAATACATTAACTCACCCCTAACCACGCCATCAGATCGCACTGTAACCACGATAAAATCTAGCGCTTACCAAAGGACATTGAAAGGTTGCTGCCGGGACAGATAACATCCCTTTAACAGGAACATAACGATGTTCAGATTAACTAAAACCAGACACCCAAATGCAGCCAAACCGGAGAGAGCTGGGTGATGTAATGGCTGGTTGCTAGCTGTTGGAACTAGTTTTTGACTGCATTTTCTGTTTGTCCATCCACCTTCTTTTTTAATTTCTGTTGCATAGCTCAGTAATGCAATATTGTTTTCCTCACCACTGCCGAATCCAGAGTCCCATTAGCCCGCCATGTTCATCCACTTTGCACTCCTTGGACACAAAGCTTTAACAATTGAACTGTATTCAGTGCATTTTAATACAAACTAAAACCACAATGCAGATGCAATACTTTTTAAAACATGGTTATTTCAAAGTGTGTTATTATTATTGTATAGGGCTAAGTACTATCTCAGTATTTTGTGTCATTTCTGTATCCTGTGGGCTTTTCCTCACCTTAGTACCTTTGCACTAAGTTTTGTTGCTGTAACCATTTGTAGAACTGCCATTGTTCCAGTTTGCACTTATCCAGATGGGGTTTTTGGTTGGTTTTGTTGGGGTTTTTTGGGGTTGGTTTTTTTTTTCGTTTTTTTTTTTTTTTTTTTTTGTTGGTTTGTTTGTATATAATGAAGGAAAAACTGGAAATAATGTCAAGGTACCTCAGCTATTTAACAGCTCTAGAAAATCGCTGTAAAATTGTTCTGGACTATTGTAACTGTTTCAATTAAGTGACATTTAAAAAAAAACCAACAAACAAACTACCAACCTCTGTGTGAGAAAACTTGCCTGCATTGAAATGCTGTTCTATGCTGGTTGTACTCAAGTGTTATTTTTTTAATAGTGAGAAGACTTTTTTTCTTTTTTTTTTGCCTTTTTTTTTTTTTTTCTCCTTTTCTTTTCCTCGTTTTTGTTCCTACATTTTAGGCTGTCTTCAGAAGTTACTGGCCTGGGGGCTCTGTAATGTATCTCATCATGCCCTAGTGCATTAGCCACCAGACAGGACTTTTCCAAAGCCCCATGAGACAATGCTTTCTATGGACTAATCTACAGAGGAGTTTCTGCCATTTCTAACTTTCTTATTATTCTGAGACATCAAAAGAAAATCCTTCTTTTACTCTTTAAGCAACTGTGCTTCCTAACTCCTGTGTTGCTTTCATTACTGTTCCAGTTTGAACACTGTTGTGGCTCATAACATAAAGCAAGGAAAAGTTATTTTCGGGGGTTAATTTTCATCAATGTTCATGCTTTCGCTAATCTGTATAAAAGCATGGGCCGTTAGTGTTCTAAACCACTGTATTCAGCTAGAAACTTGACAGTAAATTAAATGAGACGTTTTTATAAATAAATTTTTTTCCTGATTTAAAGAAAAAACAAAAAAAAAAAGACGTGGTAGCTTTGTGCATACAACTGTTGTGTTGTTTAAACTTTGTTCTTTGTAACCGAGTTGCTAATTTGTCATTTGAGAAACACTATTTTATGGATTGTCAAACTAAGATCGTAGACAAATTGCTTGTTTTCATTAACGATTAAAGGTTTCATATCATCACGCTTAAGTGGCAACGTTAGAAGTACATTAGCCCGTTGTCAGGGATGATGAGTCTGGTCATGATTAGATGGAGCCTGATTGCATAATTAGGAGACTACGCAGTATTTCTGCAAAAGCTTATTTGGTTTTTAACAAAGTTGCTCTTGGAGAACTCCTCACCCTGCATAGAAAAGACAGAATTTGGCTTCTTGCTACAAGAAGCCACTGGTTTGTCTCTCTCGTGTTTTCCCATACTGATTTTAAGATCAGATACTGGGGAAAGAAAAACAGGAACAAAAGAACAAACTTGGATACTGAGTACAACATGGCTAAGACCCTTCGTATTTTCCCATTCCCAGCAGCACTGTTGAGCGATGAGGCTTTCCTTTCACCCAGCCAGGAAACTAGGCCAGCAGCTGGGAAGAGTATTACGATTTGCATTAAAAAGGGAGAATGGAGAGCTGGCCCAGAGAAGTGTCGCATCCTGCCCTGCCAGGCTGCTTGGGCCACTCCTTTGGACCTGCGGAAGCACTGCAGTCGCAGCCTCAAGTTGTCTCTTCACAGGAAAGCAAAAGGAAGGGGCTGGCCCTGAGCTGTTGCTCGCGTACAGCGCTCTGGCCACCGCTACTCTTAGGGCCTTGGCAGTACTTTCCATGTTTAATGCTTTATCCTCATGAATAAGCAGAGGTTTTGGCAGTGCAAGTGAGTGGCATCCTTAATGACCTGAGACTAATTCTACAACCTCCATCCCTACTCTACCAAGGTCTATACTTGTCTCCTGGCACTTAGCTTGAGGTCCCGGTTCCCCTCACTGCCCTGGCTGAGTACTTGTGGGGCATATCGCTCTTATTTCCCACAGGCAAAGGGCAGCAGCAGCTCTGTCGTGTGTAGCATCTTTCACACAAATAATTCTCGTGCCTTGCAGAACTGGCTAGAACAGACTGAGATTTAAACAAACTAGTGCAGGGGCACACTTGCGTGTGGAATGAGAAAATGTAAAATAAAGACACATGGACAAAGGAAAGAAAAAACTAGTCTTTTGAGAGAGCATTTGCAAAAAATACAGGCAGAAATGTGGTAAGATGTAGGCTAATTGAGGACTCAGTTTAATTATTTTAGTTGGAAAAGATTTCTGAATGGCAAGAAGTTGTTCCTGGATAGCTTTAATGTAGAAAACAGGCAAACAAAACACAAGAAGGTACACCTGGGGGGGAGAGGGGGAGAAGTAAAAAAAAGTATTATCCAAGATAGAAAAAGGAACCACTCATGCCCAAAGGTAGATAAGAGGAAGCATGCACTCGATATGAAAAGGTCACTACCCACACAACTGTGAGTTTCCAAATGAAAGATAACAAGTTCTGCAGCTTTCACGTCATCAAATCAGTATCAGAGTTCTAGCAAACATCTCAAATGAATTCAAGAAGCTCCCCGTTGTTAACAAGTCTCTCTAGTGAAAAAAATAGAAAGTATGAATGCTGGGTGGAATAGTCATCCAGAAAGAAAACAAAGGAAGTTAGAGGTATTCAGCCACATAACCTAGTCCAGATTGCTTTCTGTTCTCAGACGTAGCCAGAAGGCTTTTATGGGCCCCAAGGTGTGTATCTGTGCCAGTCAAGGCTCCTAGGAAGCGAACAGCATAAATCTCACTGGTGCCACAAACGTAGGCACCTGGGAAGCACCTCAGCCTCATCCAGCTGCACAAGCAAGGTGTTTCCATGAGGTTTCGCAGGACAGCCTTGCACTGAACCTTCCCCACCCAAACTAGGCAGAAATGGAAGCGCCCCCATTTTTTTCCTTTTTAAATACCCAACAGCATGAGGATAAGAGCGCTTCCCTGGGATGGGGGGAGATCCAAATCCAGTTTCTTCCATAGCCTCCGCCTCAGCAGAATGTATTTCAGCGCTATTTACATACTTGGAACAGGACCTGCCCCTTCTCAGGCGAGTGTCGCGATTATCGGACAAGTCACACGTGCTCACTAACTCAGTCGTTTTACAGCAGCACAGCTTCTACAGGAAAGACTGCAACTGTTGGGCTGCTCAGCTAGATCAGAGGAACCATAGGTTCAAAGGACAGCATAGAGAGGAAGGATTTGAACACAGATCTCCTATATCCTCCGTAAGCGCCGTAACCGGCAATTACGCAAGGCATCAGTCCCTCAACTGTATTTTTGGAAGAAAGACTTGGCTTAGATGTCTACAGAAGGGAATTGCTCGCATTTCTTTTCCCAGCTAACAGGGCAGGACAGTTCTAAGTGAAGTGATGAACAAGAGATCAAATGAAGGCAGATACTGAAAAACTGCTTCAGACCAGAAACATTCTGATCTCTTGGCCTGAGTGACGCTTTCTAGGGATACAAGTACGTACTGCCTTTCTTGCCACTGAAGTGTACTTACTCCTTGGTTCCAGGAAGGAATGCAGTAATGTTGATTAAAGCAGTTTCTGCATCAGTCCACGTGTCCTGTCACTCTGCAGGCTGGCATATGTTTCAAGACAGTAACCAAAATGAAAGAGAAATGTCAAATTCATCTGATGTTATCTAACAAAAGGGAATTTCTGAACCATTACATACTCACGTTATGGTTTCTAATGACAGCTACAGCA